TATATATATATATATATATATATATATATATATACATACATAGCACTATTGCAGGAAAGCAATGGGTATTATCTAAATGGTAAAATGAATTTATTAAAGAGAACATAAATATATACAACATATTGGGTATACACATTAAGATACTTTAGGCACATGACTATCTATTCTGCTACTTTAGGGTTATTGTCATGTATCTGCATTTGAAAAATGCCAGATATCTTTAAGTCTTTCTCTAGCTAAGTTAAACAGTTAATTGGATTAACAGTTTAGTTAACACATTTATAATATTTCCCCTCTCAAAGTGAAATAATTAAATGTGACTGGATTACTGTATTTAAAGGAATTCTTTCACTGTTTCCACCATGTTTTCACTATTTATTTATTTAGTTAGTTTTGGCTTTCAAGATAGGGTTTCTCTGTGGATTTTGGAGGCTGTCCTGGAACTAGATCTTGTAGACCAGGTTTGACTGGAACTCACAGAGATCCACCTGCATCTGCCTCCCGAGTGCTAGGATTAAACGCATGCGCCACCACCACCCTTCTGTTTTCACTATTTAAACTTTGCAGTGGATCACTATTTATCACTAGTATAAGAATAGACTTTGGGAGCCCATTCCACATAGAGAAAAACTCTCTCAGCCTAGACAACCAACGGGGAGGGGGATGAGTAGGCCCAGGACCCTGATCTAACAGACTTTGAAGATTTCCCCATGGAAGGCCTCACCCTCCCTGGGGAGCAGAAAGGGGGTAGGATAGGGGGTTGGTGGGGGCCAAAAAAGGAGGGGAGGGAGAGGGCACTGGAATTGACATGTAAAGCAAACTTGTTTCTAATTTAAATTTATTTAAATTTAATTAAAATTAGTTGCAGAAAACATTTTTCCCCCATCAGCAATTACCATAACTTGGACTTTTCTAAAACGTACAAGAATACACTTTGAACTGAATTCCAAGACTGTTTGTCTTCCATTTCACTTTCAGTAATTTGCAGTCATGTGATCGGGGGGGGGTGGGAGACATCGCACTCTTGAAATTGAATGGCTAGTTTTTGATACTTAGGACTAAACTGTTTTCACTTCTTCCCTTCCTCTACTGAAAAATAAAGAGAAGATAAGAGAGGAGAATAAAGGAGGAGGAAAGGTAAGGAAAAGTAAACCATACCTGATTGAGGATATAAAATAATATGTAATAATTTCAATTATTTGCCCAAAATACAACCAAATAACAAGAATATCATCAATAGATCACTGTTTCCACAGATGTATACATTTCTGCTATTTCCTGTTAATTGTTCCTGTTTGTGGTAAAGGAAAAAGTAGAGGGGGACAGGAATGACAACATATGTAGGTCAGGCATCATGGCCCACTGTCCATGTGTGAAGTTATGTTCCATTTATGACACTGATGCTAATATTTAAATGAAAATATTTATAAACAATGCAATGTCTGGCTTTTCTATCAGTCTGAAATGTATGGAGTAGACTTCTCTGAGATCACAGCAATTTTTACATCATAATCAGAGAGAAATTAAAATAATTCTTATATCTACTGGAAAGTATATTTACATTAGATTATGCAACATATTTAAAAGAATAATCACAAAGAGTAATCCTAGTTTGCATCCAAACTTTACTCAGGGACTGAAATGTTACATGCTGGTCTCCAAAAATTTAATGAGGATAATCTGCTGAGCTCTGCATCCATCACACACCACTGCATACGTGGTCTGATAACTGACCAAGATGAAGATAAAACAGCAAAAGCAAAATATGAACATGTGCCTCTAAGCTTGTATTGTGCACAAAAATGTATTAGTTTGAAACAAACATAAGAAGAAAGATAATTTATTACACATCCTATGCAAAATGGTTCTGAAACAGTATTTTTTCAAAATTACCAAAATGAAGATAAATTTAATGTCTTAGTTGAGGAATTTTGAAAGATTTTAAATTACCCTTTGTTATTTATGGATATAATGGTCAGTTTTCCTGACTAAAAACCCCAGGTTATATTATAGAAAGAGGACAACAGAGGGAATTATCATATGAGATCACACAAATTAGTGCTGATTAGAAAAAATATTTGAAGATATGTCAATGAATTTTCTTTGGAACTATTAGTTTTGTTGTTCAGCAATATGCCTTGATGTTGAGTAATTATTATTTTAATATATAAAGCTTCATTACACAGAGGGTTCTTATGGCATTAGTATTTTACAATTTATAAAATACTATTGTATTTGAATGCAATAATACTGTGAAAATTAGAGGAGCACTTTCAAAGAAATAAATCACACATTATGTAAAGAAATATTAGCAACAACACCATTGTGAAATAATGCTCTTTTTTTTTTGCTTGTTTATAATCAATGGATCTAAGATAGAGGAGGTAGACAGGAATCTGATATAGGTTTTATTTTCCTGTTACTATGTGGTACTACTAAGCTTATTCTTTTTCCCCTTTGGAAAAAATACTTGGGAGAGCAAATATGAAGAGTGAATAGCTTTCTGCTCTTGGTCAAAGTGGCATTATAACAATGTGACTTTTTGTACGTCTTTAGGGAAACCGTGTCTACCATTTCAATCTGAGTTCAAGTAGTCACTGTCAATTTACACATGGGTGAATGCTGCCTCTTTGTGGCAGAATGCCATGGCAATTGTTCCTTAAACAGGAAGTTCATAAACAGCCCTTGATATTGTCCACATTCTAGGTGAGAACAGACAGAGGAGCAGCAGTATCGATGAAGTGCTTGGGTTTTTGATTGTCATATGGGGTCTACTATTTTCACCCATTAAATGCTCATCTAAATTCACGGGCAAGCCTTACTCAGAAGTGAACAGTTTATACCCACAAATATCCCAAACATTTATGGCATCTATCAACTTTAGACAAGGTATCTGTCAGAACTGATGAACTATTTTATACAAATTAAAATAAGAAGAACTCAGGCTGTATAAGTAGCTTGGATATGGCAAAATATAAAACTCTACAAGAGAAAGAAAAACGTAACATATTACTTACCATGATCCATGTATTAGAATAACACTCCAGTGAGGAAACCCATAATTAAAATGCCATTATTAAATATATTAAGTGACACATTCAGGAAAAAAAACTTATCTGAACCAACAAAGGAATCAACTTTATGTATGTGTATGCATAAATGGACATACATTGAAATTTTTATATATGGAGAAACTTAGTCTTACTAGGAGGAAAATAGCTACTGGTTCCTAAATTCTTAATAAGGAGGTTCCACCATCTCCCAGAATCATTACTTACATCCCTCAAAGTTGACATAGTTATCAAGTGTTTATTCAGAAACTATTTAAAAAATTACATGTGCTGGGATACATATGAGACTGTAACAATAGTAGTTCCATCTTACAGAGATCCTGTTTGTCACCAGCATCTGCCCAGAGGAATAAAGACATCGTACATAGACTTGTACAGCCCGTCATTTGGTCTTCTGAGGTGCAAGGGCACGAGGAACTGTACAAATGCAACTGGGTTTGGTTACACAATCAAAAATCGGCTACAATAGTAGTCAAATCAATACATCATTTTGGTTCACTAATAAAAATAATTTTCAGCCTTCTCTGTTATAACCAAAAACTTCCACACATTTCTCAATCAAACAATCCAATTATTTGCGCCATCTTCTCCCTTTTATACAGTGGGTTACAAACAGCTTCAGTTTTTAGTTTAGTTTTTTTTTTTTTTCTTTTTCTTTTTAATCGCAAGTCCCATTGGATGGGTTTCATGGACTTTTAAAGACTTTTGCCATTAAGTGCTCCATGTCTTTAACTATTTAATAGGCCTTTCTGATCTCACTCTAGATTTGGAAATGCAGCTCCTTGTACAGTGCAACAACGCCTCTGTGAAAATCATAGGCTAACTAGTGAAGGAAAGAGGAATGCTAAATGCGCATATAAAAATAGGTGCTACAATAAAATATTTGTATATTTCATCAATAAGTTATTTTGACTAATCAATTATGGATCATATAGCTCTGTAATTTCAATGATTTGTCCACATCTATAGTGAGCCTTTCTGGATCACAAGATTTGTTTTGTTTTAATTCAAATGTCCAGAATGCATACAAACACATCCTTTAAAAACAAAGGACAGGATTAGGATTACGAAGGTAGGTGGGAGGGGAGGGGGAGAAGTGAGAGAGAACAGACTTCCTATTAAAGTTGGGGTGTGCTAATCTCTCAACCAATGCCATGGCTCTTAGGACAAGAAGGATATGAGAAGAGGGGCAAAAAGGATGAGTGGAATCTAAGCTGCGTCCGCCCCCACCCTTCTCAGCACTTCGGAGCACTGCAAAAGGGGCCACAACTTGCTTAAGGTCGCCCTTGATGCAAATCGCCCTCCAAAAAGCCCTTCTCTCTTCCCCCACAGACAAGAAGAGAAAGAAAGTGATGTGCCTAGTTTACATAAACGTTTCCCACGTGTAAAAGTAAAAGGAAATTGCACACCCTTTCAGTTAGCTTTCACCGAAGCTGAGAACCCCGTGCCAAGGCACTTCACCCTAAATGTTGAAACGACACAATTAAATCAAACGTGGTCACTGAGTGTGTCTGCTTGCTTGTTTGTTTTAAACGCAAAAAAGCTCCAAGGGAGTTTCTTTGTTTTCAGAACTGACTGAATGTGGTCTGTTTTTCCAGCACTTCGAGGTAGTCCGGCTCAACATTTAGTTTTGCTTTTAACTCCAGATACTCATTCCGGTTCGGTTCTACAAAGACAGCACCGGGAGGGCTGTAGAGCACCGGTTCCCGCAGCCTGCTGTCCCCTGCCCCCGGGTGCAAATACTGATGGGGGCGTCGCAGGTCATAGTTTGGGGAAAAAGTGTAAGCAGCCGAGCTGCAAGGGAACTTGGGGTATTCCGGGAGGCTGCTGCCGGCAGGGCTAGTGGAGCAGTGTTTGTCTGGCTCTAAAATGCCCCTGTAAAAGCGGTCAGCGTCCTGCACCGGCGACAGTAGGTCCTCCCGGGGCTCGATGGTGCTGACGCTGTAGGCGGTGATCTGCAAGTGGTGGCTTTCCCTCCTCTCCTCCTCCCCAGGCTGCAGCTGGGGCTGCGGAGGGGGCTGCTGCTGGGGCTGCTGAGGCGGCGGCGGCGGCTGCTGCTGCTGCAGGTGATGGTTGCTGCTGTAGGTGACCTTGAGCTCGTGCAGGTCTTTGTAATCCTCCACGGAGTTGCCTTCTCGAGACCGGTAGATGGGGTTTTTGCACATGTGGCCCAGCGGGTGAGGGATGTATTCATACACGTGGCCCGCGGGAGTCTTCACCTTGGGCAATGCTGGTCCGCGGTGGTGCACGTGGGCGTGCGGGTGGCCACCCCCGCCGCCGCCCGCACCCCCATACACGCTGTACTGCATGTTGAAAGAGCTCACGTCGGAGTTGTTGGTACTGGCGTGGTCGCTCTGGTTCTTCTTCCTACGCTTCATGACCAGCACGAAAAGGCCTGCTGCCACAAAGACCGACATGATGAAAACCAACAGCAGGCTGAGGATCAACACCGATAAAGGCACCGAAGAAGCCCCGGCGCCGGCACCCAAGCCCGCGGGGGCCCCAGTGCTGTTCAACCGCACAGCTGGCGTGGCTGCATGGGTCCTGGATGGCACCTGGATGGAAGAGGGTGTGGGCGTGGAAACCACTACATCAGAATAGTCCGGACATAGCAGTTCCGACTTGATGGAGCGCATGTAGGTCTCTGCAAATTTCTTGGGCGCCTTACAGATCACTTCGTCCACTAACACACCCACTTTGAGTTGCTCAATCCACAGTTTCATGCCCACCACATCGCAGGTACAATCCCAAGGGTTGTCATGTAGATCGATTTGGATGAGGGACGTCAGCTGATCCAACACTCCACTCACTGGCAAGGAGGCGAAGCTGTTGCTCCTCAGGTTTAGCCTGAGAAGAGTGAGGCCAGAGAAGACTCCTGAAGGCATGGCCTGCAGTTGGTTGTTGTTCAAGAACAGCAGCTGGAGGTTTGGGACTGGATCGAAAGTCCCAGACTGGATCTCGCGGATGAGATTGTACTGGAGGAAGAGATACTGCAGGCTCTGCAGGCCGTAAAATAACTCTGGACTCAGCCTCTCAATCCTGTTGCCATTCAGGTAGAGACGTCTCAGGTTGCTGAGATCCCCAAAGGCCCGGTCCTGGATCATGGAGATGCGGTTGTTACCCAGGTGCAGGAGGTCCAGTCCCGTGGCTTCCAGGAAGTCTGTTCTGCGCACAAGAGTGATGTAGTTCTCTGTTAGGTACATTTTCTTGGGATTGTAGGGCTTGGGCTGCAGCTCGGCGATGCTCTCGATCTTGCGCTCCTGGCAGTTGACATTGAGGCCCAGATCAGAGATCTGAAGGTTGCAAGTGCACGCTGTAGGACACTCCAAAGGCACCGGGGATTTGGTCTGGTAGGCTATGCTGGGGCCATAGTTACTGTAGCCCAAGTCTTTAGAGGGTTGCCTAGAGGTGGGGCGCACTCTGGGTTTGTTGGGCTGGCGGGTCCCCTTAGGAGGCTTCAAGGGGGGCTTGTAAACAGCAGAGGAAGAAGTGGCCACAGAATTCACAGAGGCTGGGGTGGTATGTAAATATCCCGTGGTGCTTAAAGGAGTCTGTGGCCTCATCTCATAGTCAGAAATAAGTTTCCTTGGACAAAGTTCCTGCTTGGATACCTCATCCAAGTCCCTTCCGTGTAAACGGAAGGGGGTCTCACAGACCACATCACCCACAAGGGCTGAATAGGAGATGCTGTCTAACCAATCCTTGAGAGAAATCAGTTCACAGGAACAATTCCAGGGATTTTCCTCCAGCTGTAATTCCACAACCTTATCCATGTGTTGCAACAACCCTGCATAGGGCAGAAGTTTCAGTCTGTTCCCCCGCAAGTCCAAGTGCGTTAATGGCACAAAACGGAAAAGATTGTTGGGTAAACCTGACAAGAGATTGTCATTGAGGATAAGCACCTGCAACATATGCAGTTTTCCAAAAGCATTGGGTTCAATGACACTGATGTAATTGTAATCGACCTGCAGGTATTCTAAGTTCTCCAAGCCGAGGAAGGTGTCATCTCGAAGAAGTTCCAGTTTGTTATTGTTTAGATGTAGTCGCCTCAAACCCCGCAGCCCATGGAAAGCCCCAGTCTCGATCTCTTGGATAACATTGCTTCCCAGATGTAAAATTGAAGCCCCAGTGTAATTGACAAACTCATTGGGATAGAGACGGTTCAGAAGGTTCCCAGACAACAAGAGGTGATAGACAGGGAAACGGGGAGGGCTAATTTCAGAGAGACTGATGATCCCCCGGTTTTCACAGCTCACAGTTAAAATGCCGTCCTTTTCCTCACAAGGACATGCATTGTCACAGATTTCCCCATAATAATCGATGGTTTCTGCACAGGAAAGCACGAGAGATGTT